GAGGTGGATTGATTCAGTGACTGGGGTAATCGGGATGGGAGTGTCAGAGACAGTGCGATTGGCACAGGACAGAGCAGAGTTTAGGGCTGTTGTACATAGAGTCGCTATGGCACATAACAACAACAACAACCTGAACCTATAGCTGATTCTGGTGGGTTTTGAGGGGCAGTAAATCTCATGGGAGGAGATAGCTCATCTTTTTTTCTGGTGAATTTGAACCATCTTCCTCTGGATTGGCAGCACAACTCTTTACCACTCGGCCATGAGAGCTCCCACTTGAGGTGGTGTTGGTGTTGTGTGCCATTAGTGAGAACTGACTTATAGCTAACCCTTTACTAGGTTTTCAGAGGCAGTAAATTGGGCAGAGAGAGTTTGCCCAACCTGCTCTCGTGGAGAAGCTGGTGGGTGGATTCGAACAGTATAACTTTGGGGTGCAGTGCAGCTTCTTACCACTAGGCCACCAGAGCTCCCTAGGAGCTGAAAAACTGTGGATTTTTATTATGTTTTAAAAAGAGTTTCTAGGTGATTCTAATGTGCTGGCTGGTTTAGAAACCCGTAGGAATTTATTTCCTTAGCAGGAGAATCAAGGAACTCAATGACTTTCACCTCAGAGCTCATCACACCCTATGTCTGAGTGGGAATTGACGGGTAGCTGACCCCCCATTGGTTTTCAGAAGCTGTAGATCCCACTGGAGGAGACTGCCCATCTTTCTCTTGAGGAGCAGCTGGTGGATTCGGACCACCTGCCTCTTGGATTGGCAGCACAATTCCTTACCACCAAGCCATTAGGGTTCACCACTGTGTCTCAGGTTGGGTTGACCTCAGAAGAGCAATATGTTCATCTTCATTTACAACCTTTACACTGTTGCCCCAACACACTTAGCCCCATGTACAAGAATGACAGGAGGGGAGGGTGTTGGGTTACAGCTTTCTGGTCATCTGCAGTCACATGTTGTTCCCTGCAGCAACTAACTCAAGGACTTTGAGTTTGAGTTATGACTAATTAAATTGTAATCTTTGACTCTTCTGTCTGTTCTCTGGATCATAATACATAAAATAATAGTAACGATAGGCAACTATGTTGTCTTGGAGGAGAGAGGAGCCAGGACAAGGGAAGAATTGGATTTGGATTCAGCTGTTGGTGATGGCTTTAGACAAATCCCTTAGCCACCCTGAGCCTCCATGTCATCATCTGTCAAATGAAGATCTCCAGGGCTGTAGGGAGAGTTAGAAGTAGGAATGTGTGGTAAGGAGCTGCAACTACAATCCCAGAGGTGCATGGTTCGAATCCACCAGATGCTCTGCCGAGGAAGGAGGGACAATCTCCTCCTGTACCAGTCAGATCTGATTTGACAGTACACTCACACAAAAACAATAAAATAAATTTTTTTTTTAAAAAAAAAAGAAGTAGGAATGCATAGGAGACTAGAACACATGCCAGAAGTTTGCGTTTGTTATAAATATAACAAGAGTTCTGTGGAATAGTGGGAAGAGAGAACCTTGCTTTCAGGAGACTTATTCTAGCTCTTTAATCTCATTGAACCTCTGTTTACTCATTTGACAATGAGGAGTTGAATCTAGATTACTGTTAATATGCTTTCCAGTCCCCCAAGGGTAAGGTCAGCGCTGGAGCTTTGGAACTAGAGCTCTCATTGGTCTTTTGAAACGGGTCCATTTCTAGAGGATATTTTCATTGTGGGGCTGGGATATTTAATCCATTGGTTTCATGGTGCATTGGGAGTGCTAAGGAACCATCTGAAGTTCCAGACCACCACATTCTCTACACTGACTTTTAGGGCTCTGATGTCCCTGGTTTCTTAGTGCCCTATCTGGGGGCTACAAACTCTCTGAAATGGCCTTCCTCTTTTCAGATTTTTGCAAGGTTACTTCTCTTTCTGTTGTAGGGCACTCTGGTGACCTAGTGGTAGGGAATTACACTGACAATTCAAAGGCACGTGGCTTGAATCCATAACTACTCTGAGAGAAATATGGATGATTTATAGCCTCTGAACATCTGCTGGAGGGGTCAGCTATGAATTTGTTCTTACTTAACAACAGTAATATCTCTATCTTATCATTTGGGTATGAATTCAAATGCCACCTCCCCAGGAAAGGCTTTCTTCTACTCTTCTTGGAAGCTTCTCCTCCTTCAATCTCACCACTATCTCCTTCCTTCAATTAATTGCCTTTATCAAGAACTCTTACTGATTTCTTATTGCCACCTGTGCCAGGTCTTAAGCTTCAAGAGATCAAGAAACTTGTCCTTTTGATTACTTCTCTGCTTGCTCCAAGCCATTAAAACAATATCTGGCACAGAGACATTGCTTGGAATTTGGAAAGCACAAGTTAGTGTGGCAAGGAAGTAGCTAGAATAGAAGAATAGAATTAGAGAATGGAAGTGGGATGTTTTGATGAGCTCTCTGGAAATGAGACTGAACAATTTGGATGCACTGTCAGATCTTCTTTAGCCTAGAATCTGGTCACATAGGAATGGTCTTCTCTGGTCACATTTTGGTTCAATGATTTTCACATTTGTTGCAAGGGAGTAGCGAGATAGTGCTAGATATATTTTTTCCTTAAGATCTCAGCATTCTTTACTCAGTCTCTTTTTTTTTTTTTTACCAGATAGACACATTTCACCCTGATTACGCCATGAATTTATAGGGAATAGGTTCCAGCAGCTCGGGCTCCTTTCCATTTGTTCTCACAAAGTGTGCCTCTCTGGGGGGAGCAGGCTGGCGTTTTAGCTGGACCCAAGTGCCTTTCTCCTTGGCTTCCTTCTTTTTCTGATCATTTTCCTTCACTCGTTTCAGGAAGCTGTCTCTGTTCTTTTTTTGTTTTTGTTTGTTTTGTTTTTTATTTTATTATTTTTTGTGTGTGTACCGTCAAATCAGATCTTACTGGTACAGGAGGAGATTGTTCCTCCTTCTCCAGCAGAGCATCTGGTGGATTCGAACCGTTGTCTCTGTTCTTAGAGTGCTTAATATGCTCAGTGCACACGTTAATTCTCTTTGCAAGAATTTTACCCTTAACTTGTTTGTTCACAACGATGCCAACAGCATGCTCGGTAATATTGTAGACTCTTCCGGTTTTGCAATGGTAACATTTGTAAGGCATTCCTTTTTGAACAGTGCCCATTCCCTTGTTGTCTACAATATCTCCTTTCTTGTAGATTCGCATTTAAGTGGCCAAAGGAACAACCCCATGTTTTCTAAAAGGCCGAGAGAACATATAGCGGGTGCCCCTCCTCTTTCCCTTTGTGTTCGTCATTTTGGCGGATCACTGCAAGATGGCGGTTCCTCCTCAGTCTCTTTTAAGAGATTGCCTAGGTCTCTTTGCTGCGGGTTATGGTTTTGTAACTGGAAGCCTAAATTCCAGACCAGACTGAACCTTTATAATCTAAATTTGTTTCCTCTTCAGTCAAATGGGATTAATGGTGGCATAACAAGGGAGCATTAGTGGCTTAATGGTAAGCATAGGTACTGAAATCCCAAAGGTATATGGTTCAAATCCACCAGCTGCTTCTTAGGCGAAGGATAGACAAACTCCTGTGAAATGAAACTGCCTCTGAAAACCCACAGGAGGGTCAGCTATGGATCGGTTCTAACTTGATGGTACACAACAACAACAGTCTGTAGTGAGGGAGTTCTAGTGGCCTAGTGGTAAGAAGCTGTGCTGCAATCTCAAAGACCCATGGTTTGAATCCACCAGCTGCTCTGTGGGAGAATGATGGGCAGTAAGATTTTCTGCCTCTGAAGACTCACTGGAGAGTCAGCTATGGGTTGGTTTTGACTCAACAGAATGCAACAACAACAACAACAACAACAAATTCTACAGTGAATTGTGCTGCTAACCAGAGGCTGAGTGTCTTCCAATGGTGTGACTCCTTGGGAGAAAAATGGACAATCTCCGCTTGTTGAGATTTGCAAACTCTGAAACCTCATGGAAGGTTTCTGTGAGTCAGAAACAACTGCTAGCAGTGCGTTTGAGTGCCTACAGTTCTGAGGAATTGTTGTTATGTGCCACTGAGTTGACTATGATTCACAGAGACCCTATGAATAACAGATCTGAACCCCGTTCTGTCCTGTGCCGTTCTCACCATCTCCGACCACTGGAGTCCGCTGCTGCAGTCACTTTGTCAGTCCCTCCTGTTGAGGACCTTCCTCTCTTACACTAACCCTTTTCCTTTCCAAGCATGAGATCCTGCTCCCAGGATCAGTCCTTCCTAACAATGTGCCCAAAGTATGTGAGACGAAGCGTCACCATCTTTAGCTGGGAGAGTTTGCATAGAGCCTGGCATGTAGTCGTGGTGCTATTTTGATGACCTTCAAGCAGTATTGCAATGTGCAGGGTATCAGGGAAGGGAAGGAATCCTGGCAGTGGCAAGAAGTTTTGATGAATAGGAACGATGGCCCTTTTTCTGCTTTCTGTCTGCTCTGGAGGGTTTTTTCCTTGCCTGACCTTCTGTGTCCATCACCTTGCGTTAAGAAGTCATGGGAGCCTGAGATCCTACTAGGGATACTAACCTCACGGCCCCAGGTGAATCCACAGACTTTCTACTAATTGTGTTGTGTGTATTATTTTTTAAAAATGGAATTAAATGAAAGCTTACAAAGCAGGCCATTTCATTCAACCATTCAAATACGTGAATACAACTAAATTAATTAGTTAACACCTAAGACATTAATTGTATAATAAAACCCCCACAACATAGCCATGCTTTCCCCACTTCCTGGGATTCTCATTTCCATTGGTCTTTCTGTCTTACCCTCGAGTGTATTTTCTTGGTGTGAGAGCAGACAGGGGCTGCTTCCTGCTTCCGGGGAGCTTATCTTGATGGGGACACACAACACCAGGGCTGAC